ATATTATTTACTAATTATTAACTCATGATAATAAAGACTTATTACTCCTCTTGTTGCGCGGACCTGAGGATGAAACTCCCTAACACGCGCTCCACCTTTATCTAGCTCCTTTTCATCAGCTGACAACTATCAGAGAGTCGCAAAGTCATCGTTTTTCCACTCCGCCAAGTGACAGTCATCAGAGACGATTCGATGACCCATTTCATTAATTTCTATATCTCGCAAGGAGATCTAGAGATTGCCCACATCGTTTTTATCCAAGGAGAACCTTCGAGGCCATGGACACTACACGAAGATCCTCTCGAACGCTCAGAATTTCAATGCATCCCTGACGCATTGTCGTCGCGACGCCAGAACTCTTTTTTCCTACTTTCAACTTACTTTACACTTCATTTAGTGATAATTTGTGTGATTTTAATTTACCAAAATAGATTTCATCTACTTACGATTCTTTCGACTTTTACAAATCTTAATTTGATCAATTAAATCATCTCTAATCGCTTATGAAAGAATCATCAAATAAAACTATATTTCTGCCTGATTCACGTTTGCTAAGACACTAATATCATCTTGATGTCTGCACCCTTATTTCCTTTTTTTGTGAATTTTAAATATATTTCTTTTTTATTTCTTTGTATAAAATTCATAAAAAATAATATTCTTTGAGAAAAATTTTAAATAATTACTAGATATTATATTGTATCCCTATGATCAACCTAAAAAATTACTAATATGTTTAGAAGTTTTATTATTGAATTATAATTGATATATTTGTTCAAAAATATTTTTAAATATTTTAAAAATCATATTTTCTAATTTTATAAGTTTTAAATTTACATGATTAATTAAATTCGCCTGATTTGCATTCGTCGAGCATTGATATCATCCTGACATCTGCACCTTTATTTTCCTTTTTTGTGAATTTTAAATATATTTCCTTTTCATTTTCTAGTGTAAAATTTATACAAAATCGTATTCATTGAGAAAAATTCTAAATAATTACCAGATGTTATATTACGTCCCTGTGATCAACATGAAAAATTACCATATTTTTTGGAAGTTTTAATGAATTATAATTGATATATTTGTTTAGAAATACTTTTAAATATCTAAAAAATCATATTTTCTAATTTTATAAATTTAAAATTTGCATGATTTAATATACAACGATTGAGTCATGTCACATGTTATCTATCATATATCCAAAGAGTATTCTAACATTTCATATTATTAAATCATTCATTGAACTCAATAATAATCTTACTAATATCTTTTGATATCAATCAATCTAATTGATTTAATTTTTTATGCATGTAATATGATGTAAGAAATTTGTAAATTAAATAGTTCTCATAGTGCTGCTTTCTACTTTTAGTTTTTCTTTTAGCAACAATAAATTTGTCAAAAATAAATCAAACTATCCTCTTTATAGCTATAATTTCAAATTTTAGTAATATATGTTTAGGGGATTAAAATGTAATAAAAAGGTCTCTAAAATTTCAAATTTTAGACTATTTTTTCTCTATTTTTTTGGACAATTTGTTGTTCCTCACAGAAAACTAAAAAAAATTAGATTTATCTAGTTGTTGTTCTAAGTGAGCATGAAAAAAATGCAAACACATGTTATTAATTGTCCTACAACATAAATTATGAATTAATACTTCACCCCTCAACTTAAAAATGACATTGTCCTCAATGACACAAAAAAATCAGAACACAACATATAGAAAATATAATTTTTAAGTGAAGCATGCACATATGTAAAGTTAAGCACTAAAAATGTTGTCATAAATGATAAAACTCAGAAAGACATTACCTCAACCTTATTTTTAATTTTCCATTTCATCTTACACTCCTCTTCATACACTTTTTTGAAAAAAAACAAATATAGAAATAAGTATTACTAAATTATAAAAAAAATAAAGCTTAAAAAAAACAAAATAAAATAAAAACCATGGTTTGCCTCCCATACAACACTGAATGTAATGTCTCCAATTTGACACATTAATCTTACTCTTGAATTTCTTTTAATAGTAATTTTTTTTTTTCTATAAGACTTTCATGTTCTATGTAATATTTAAGTTTTCGTCTATTTACCTTAAAGTTATGATCACTTTTAAGATTTGTAATCATTATAGCCCCATGATCATGTCTCTTCCCCTACATAAGACCCTATCTATTTTGATTTTAATTTCTTAAAAATAATTTCAATTTAAAATCATATAATCACACTTTTTGTCTAACATCAAAAAAAATTCTACTAATATATTTATCATGAAAATTTTAAGTTTTTTCTTTATATATTCTATGATTTTCATAAGTTTCATTCCTCAACTATTCTAGTTCATGTAGCTGAAAAATTCTATGTCCACGAGCTAATTTATAACTCATAATACTTGTTCTATTTCCACAAAAAGATGACATGAGTTTTCAAAAATGAGACAAAATAAGAACATACCTATAAGATTTTTATAAGCTATTCTATAAGTCCATAATACATCTTGTAATTTCGTAGGTTAATCTTTCTTATCTAGTCTAATATTTTTTTTCAAAATTCTCTAAATTTTCTTATTTACTACTTAAACTTGTCCATTTGTTTGGGCAACTCTATGATGTACTCCATTCTTTTTCAACTGTTCTTTGATCACTTATAATCACTCTATGACATCTAAATCTTGAAAAAATATTTTCATGTACAAATTTCATTGTGATTTTATGATCATTAGTTCTAGTAGGTATAGCTTCCACCCACTTAGACATATAATCAACAACAAGCAAAATATATTTATATTTTTCAATTGATAAGAAGGGACTCATGAAATCTATTTCTCATACATCAAAAATTTCAACTACTAATATGTTACTTATGGACATTTCATCTTTTTTACTCATGTTACCTATAAATTAGTTTGAAGTACATGTTTTACTAAATTCTATAGAATCTCTAATGATTATAGGCCAATAAAAATCACATTGAATTTTTTTTGCAATTATTTTTCATTTAGAGAAATGTCCTCCACAATTAGATGAATGACACATATTAAGAATGTTATGATAGCCAATGACTAACTTTGTGTTCAAGTTTATGAGAAAATAATTTAATCTTAATAATTTTCAACATAATTTGAGAGAGATTAACTAAATCACAGACCATAAGAAAAAAAATTAAATACTAATGAGGTCCTCTAAAGGCAATCCATGAAAATTAGGGAGCATTTGAAAAAAGGTTGAATTTATTTCAAATTTAATAGTGGGTGCTAATGAGACTCTAATAAGTTTTGAATGCTCTTTGAAATGAATCAAGGGTATCATAATTTTCATGACCATAAAATTGTTCTCAATTTGACCTATACTTCTTTTAGGATCCATCAAAATTAAATTTTTCTTTCAGATTTTTAGTTTTGAATGAATAATAAAAAGATTTTCTAGCCTTTACATAAAAATCAATAAATTCAAGAAAAAAGTTTAATAATTATTACCCTCCTTTAGTATGCTCTAGTTTTTTCCTTTCTTCTCCTCGTTCCCTATTTTTTAAAAAAAAATTATAAGAAGAAAATAAAACAAGAGTTAATTTTTTTGTGTACTCTAAGAGAAAAATAAAAAAATATTAAATATTATGTAATACTAATAAGAGTTACCTTGCTCACGGCTCCCCCTGACTGTCCTTCAGATCTGCTTGTAGGCCCAGCTGGCCAATGGGTCCCCCTCTTTTGTTATATATATATATATATATTTTTTTTTTTTTCTTTATTTATCTCAAAAATAAGACTATAAAAATTATATAAATTCATAAAAAATCACATAGTTAGCCAAAAATTCATGTTAATCAACTAAAAGTTACTTTTCACAATTTAACATAAATACATGTCTATTTATTATGAGTTAAGACTAAAACTATATTATTTACTAATTATTAACTCATGATAATGAAGACTTATCAACTATCACTTCTTGCACCATGGAATAAGACTTCTCCCAACTTAGGACCAACTTGTTCTCCACACATATTTTCAACACCTTGGACAAGTTAGATAAACAATCATTAAAAGATGATCCAAATATAGAAAAATCGTCCATAAAAATCTCTAGACAATCATTTACTAAGTTAGAAAACATGGTAGTCATGTATCTTTGAAAAGTAGCTGGTGCATTACATAAACCAAAAGGCATCCTTCTAAAAGCAAAAGTTCTAATAAGACATGCGAAAGTAATTTTCTCTTGATCATCTTCATGTATAGCTATTTGATTATAACCAAAATATCCATCAAGAAAACAAAAATATTCTTGTCTTGCAAGCTTTTCTAGAATCTGATTAATGAAAGGTAGAGGGTAGTGATCTTTCTTAGTGGCTAAGTTTAACTTCTTATAATCAATGCAAACTCTCCATCCTATTGTTAATCTAGTTTGAAGTTCCTCACCTTGTTTATTTTTCTGCACAGTAATACCAGATGTTTTTGGGACAACATGAATAGGGCTCACCCAAGGACTATTAGAGATTGCATATATAAAACCAACTTTCAACCATTTCATAATTTCATTCTTGACCACTTCAAACATGTGGGGCTTAGGCGCCTTAGAAATTCTCTAGATGACTTGACATTCTCATCAACAAAAAATTTATGTTCACATGTCCTTACTAATGCCATGAATATCATCAATAGACCAACCAATAGCAGATTTATGCATTTTAAGAATTTCCAACAATGATAATTCTTGATCACAAGATAAACGGGATGAGATAATAACTAGATAAGTTCTACAAGGCCCATGACATACATATTTAAGTGAGCTAGGCAATGGTTTTAATTATAATTTAGATGTAGGTAAATCAAGTGGAATATTTACAGTTTCATCCTCAACTTCAAGATCATCATCACAAGGAACTTCTGAATATAAAAGAGAAGAAGGTTGTTCAAGAATCTCATCCTCAATTACATCACAAAAACACATGTCCTCCCCTAAATTTTCTGGAAAGTTAAGGAGTTTAGATACCTGAACGTTCACCTTTTCTTTCCTACTTTAATTTTGACAATTCCTTTTCCAAAATCTGTACTAACTTGAGATGTAGCTGAGAAAGGTCTACCTAGAATTATGGGCGCATGGCTCAAATTCTCAATAACCTTCATATCAGCAACAATAAAGTCAACAGGAAAACAATAATTTTCCACTCTCACAATCACATCCTCTAGCTTCCTAATTGGTTGTCTAATTGATCCATCTGCTAGTTGTAGCTCAATAAAGATAGGCTCTACTTCACCAAATTTAAATTTATCAAAAATAGCTTTAGGTATAATATTCACACTCTCCAGTGTGTCCAAAAGTGTTCTACCAAAAATCATTCCCCCAATTACACATTTAATAAGTGGGGCTCCTGGATTCCTTCTCTTCCTAAGAAGCTGATTCAATAAAATGGAACTAATACTTTTAGATAATTGTATCATCTTCTGCTTTATCGACTGAGTACAAAGATTTTTAAGAAACTTAGAATAAGAAGGGATATTCTGAATAGCATCTACCAAAGGGAAAGTGATAGTTACTTAAAAATTTTAAGCAATTGACTATCATTAGGAGGGACTTTGGAAGACTTTAAAGCTTGGGGAAATGGAATAGGAGGCACATAAACTTTTGGATCAGGTTCAGGTATGGCTGATTTTTCTATATGTTCATCAAGAATTTTCATCAAAACATCATCAACTTCCTCATTTTTCACATCATTAAGCTCTTCAAAAGATCTAGGTTCAAATGGATCAGGTAATTCCTTCCCATTCCTAAATCTCGAAATTCCACTCACAAATTCATGCTCATGATGTTCTTCTTCACAAAAAATATTTTCATTTAAATCAACATGATGTGAATAATCATTAGCATGATCAATATAGGAAACATTTCTAGGATTAACACAAGGCTGGGTTGGGAGTTGACCTGAATTTTGGGTATTTTAACCCACATGATCCATTTTACCTTTGTTCTTTTCTCCTTTGAAGTTCCCTTGGAAACTTTGCCCTTCATGCCCATGGTTTTGCCTCTCTAGTTGCTCAATTCTGATCTATATCATCTTGTTCTACTCTAGCACTTCATCCTACTTCATCATTACCTATTTCAAAAGATCTATCATAGAGTTAGAAGATGCATCCTGAAAACTAGAAGTAAAATTTGAGCAAGGGTTAGGAGCAAAGTTCTGAAAATTCTGATAATTTTGTTGATGATATGGACGTGGCTGGTAGTTGTTGTTTCCCTCTTTATTCCATCCTTGATTGCCATAACCTCCTCTTTGATTCCAAACTCCTTGCATTTGAGTGTTTCTCTCAAATGCATTAACTTGTTCAAGAGTAGGGCAAATGTCATTAGTATGATCATAACTCTCACAAATGGAACAAAGAAAAGATGGCTTAGAGATTGGAGAGAATGAGGTAAAGTTAGAAGAAGGATTCATCATATTCTTCATCTGCTTGGTAAGCTCCTCCATAGCTTGGCCCACCTTGCCAATGTCCCCCTCCACTTTATCTCTCCATATATCTGGTTCTATAGTACTAACTTTAAGGAGACCTCCACATTTTGGTGCTGAAATCCATCCATTTTGACTCAATTCTTGATGATAAGCACAACTATCTACCAATTTCTCAATAATGTTAGTGGCTTCATAATAAGTCTTCATTATCATGAGTTAATAATTAGTAAATAATATAGTTTTAGCCTTAACTCATGATAAATAGACTGATATTTGTGTTAAAGTATGATTTGTGATTTTCAGTTGATTAACATGAATTTTTAGGTAATTATGCAATTTTATACGATTTTTATAGTCTTACTTTTGAGATAAATGAAGAATAAAAAATAAAAATATTGCAAAATGAGGGGACCAGCCGGCCAGCCAGGCCCGCAAGCGGGTCGGAAGCGCAATCAGGGAGTAGCTGCAAGCAGGGGCTCGAGCGGCTTGGCTTGGACCAATAGGGGCACGTGTGCGCCACTCCCCTTCCACGTCACCGGTGGCCAACCAGTTGTGGGGCAAGGAGTGGTTGTACATGCGAGAGTAGTGACTTTGCTTATAAAGCTAACATTACTATATATTCATCCGAAAAATCAGCACACAACCGATGTGGGACTAAACCCGCGTCACACCTTCCTCAGAGGTGGGTGACTGACGAGGGTTCGAATCTTCCCAGAGTCAAAATTCATATATTTTTATCTGATTATCGTGACTTTCTTGTAGATTGTTGGTGAAGGATTAAGTAACGAGAATCGCTGGATCATTGGCGAAAATCTCGTCAATGCGATTCGCGGAGTATTGCTACTAAAATTGTTGAACAATTCGCGATAAAGGGATTGCAATCCATCAAGTAAGTTATCTCCAATTGATCGACGAACAAGCCATCGTCAGGAAGAGGATGATCTGCCAGGAGACGAGTCGCCACCTCTTGAGAGCGTACCAGATGCGATGAAGAGCCTCCTCTTGCTGCGCGGACCTGAGGATGAAGCTCCCTAACACGCGCCCCACCTCCATCCAACTCCTCTCCGTCGAGTGATAGCTGCCGGAGAGCCGTAAAGTCACCATTTTTCTGCTCCGTCGGGTGACAGCCACTGGAGATGACGACCCACTTCATTGATCTCTAGACTTCGCGAGAAGATCTAGAGATTACCCACGTCGTCTTTGTCCAAGGAGAGCCTTCGAGGCTGTAGACACTACACAACGATCCTCTCGAATGTTCAGGATTCCGATACATTGCCGACGTATTGCTGTCGCGATGTCAGAACTCTGTTTTCCTGTTTTCAATTTACTTTACACTTCATTTAGTGATAATTTTTGTGTTTTTAAGTTATCAAAATATACTTTGTTCAATTACGATTCTTTCGGCTTTTACAGATCTTAATTTGATTAATTAAATCGTCTGTAATTGCTTACGCAATAATCACCAGGTGGAACTCTATTTCCACCCGCTTCACGTCCGCCGGGTGCTGATGTCATCCCGATGTCCGCACTCTTATTTCCTTTTTTTGTGAATTTTAAATATATTTCTTTTTTATTTTTTAATATAAAATGTATAGAAAATCGTATTCTTTGAGAAAAATTCTGAATAATTACCAGATATTATATTACATCTTTGTGATTGACTTGGAAAATTACTGCTATTTTTGGAAGTTTTATTAAATTATAATTGATATATAAGATCTTGGGTACTTTCTAATAAGATCTTTCATTCTATCTCATGCATCACTAAAAGAGTCAACTCCTTGGGTAAAATCCCTAATGGCTTTTCAATAAGCATTAGTTCTTCCAACTGAATAAAACTTTTGTAAAAATTAATTTTCCATTTCATTCCAATATTGAAAATTTTTACCCATGGTTCTGAACCAATCTTTCACTTTATCCGACAATGTATGAGAAAATATTCTCATTTTCAGCACATCTGCATTAACTCCTGCAATATTATGCGAATCACATTTTTCCACAAAATCATATAAATAAGCATGGGTATCCTCATTCAATTTCCCATAAAAAAGAAGGCAACATATTATAAACAGTAGAATCAAGTTTGAAATTCATATTTGCCTCAATGTTCCCATAAATCTGAGGCTGAATTTTACTATCAGCTGGTTCGTAAAATTCCCTTAGCCTCATTATTCTATTTTGATTGTTAAGCATTTCACCCATCTCCTCAAAATGTTGAGATTTTTCCACTGTTTCTAGGCTCATTAGAGGGGGTCATTGCGACCTTCTACCCTGCATACAAAGTCAAGACCAGAAAATAATGCAAAAGATGTCTTAAAAGAAAAGGTTAGAGGTCACCAAAGGTTGCCCTCTCACTCTTCTCCTTTGAGAAAATTCCCTGCACTTAACTAGTTAACTCTAAAATAGAAAAATCTGAAAGACAATAAAAATTTTCAAACTCAAAAAAAATTCAGAAACTAAATTTACCTTGCGTCCCCAGCAATGGTGCCAATTGATAAGTCCAAATTTAAGGGTTTTTGCGTAGCTCTTTTAATTCAAGCTTAACCAATAATAAATTTTCCACTTAGTTACTCTATATCATACATAATGCGAGTAAGGGGTCAATCCACAGGGAGACAAGAGTTCAATTTCAGATTTTTTTTAAGTCTTAGAAATGGTAGAAATAAATTTAGAAGTTAGGAATTCACTCTTTGGAAGTATTTCACGATTTTAGAGAGCTTAATAGAATTTTCTGGAATTAACCTGTGCATAAAATATAGCTAATGATTAGAATTTTATTTTTTTGTATTTGTTTCTAATTTTAATTTGTTAATTGATTTTAATTGATTTTTTATTTTTTATTTTTTATTTTATTTTAGTTTTTTTAATGCAAAAGAACAACAATAAATAATACTAAAATAACTTACCTTGGCGGTTGACGGTCGGCTCAGAGGATGGGCTGCACGGGTCGCAGATCTCTCGTGACAGTTTCCCGACCTAACCGAAATTTAGGACTTTCGATTACGTCCGGAAGGGTAGAGAGAGAGAGAGAGAGAGAGAGAGCGAACGGCAGCGACTGCACGGCGGCTGGCAAAAGGCGGCAGCAGTGGTCGGCGGACGTGCGGCGGCTGGCGATGGGCACGCGGCGATGCTCAGCTGACACGCGGCTTCTGGCGATAGGGAGCGGCGGTGGTCGGCGAACGAGAGAGACGAGAAGCGACGGGCACGCAGCGACCGGCAGCGAGCGCACGTCGGCTGGCGAAAAGCGGCGGCAGACCGAGCGACGGAAGACGGCGGGAAGTGACGGAGGCTGCGGGAGAAGGCGGAGAGAGCAGGAACGATGGGCGAAAACAGAGGGAAACGTGGAGCAGCTGAAGGGGGCGGAACGGAAGACAGAGCGATGGGAAACAGCAGAAAATGGGTGCTGATGTTCGTCCTTTGAGCCCTCAAGACTCCTTCCTCTTCTTGGATCCTTATATTCCGCTAGGATCAGGCGTTTTTCACTGCAAGAAGGAGAAGAACAAGAGTGAACGCGTCAAAACGACTTACATCTATCAAGGTGGATACCTCAAATCCTGGAGAATGTCTTGTCCTACTAGCTAGCCGTTGCTAGAGCACGTCCAGAATGGGATGGGAAAGAGGGAGGAAGAGAGTCTTTATACAAGGGTAAGTATGACTAAAATGCCCCTTCATAATTCCCTAGTCTCTCTCCATAAATTTCTACATCGCTTCCTCTACGGACTTAGGCGGGTCTAAATGGGCCTGGACATGGCCCCCGAACCTCCTCTAATTTCTCTTTGAAGATCCAAATCCGAAATTCCTCCAAAGTACTACTAGCCCATTAAGCTAACTTTCGTCCACTAAAATGCTCTTAATTTATTGTTGATTTCTGTTAAATTCTGCATGCATGAAAACTTGAAAATATTTATCAGTAATAAAACTGCTTGACTTCATAGAAGTCAAGTAGGGTTAGTCAAAAATCATGCAAAATTCATGCATAGTGTGCAAATAGTGAAATTAATGCAAATCCAAAAATATTTAAATCATTCTATTAATAACATGATATTTTCAGGATTTAAATGAACAAAAACCAGATGAAATGTAAGGAATAATCAACACAAATATCAAGTTATCATTGTCCAAGAGACAGACTAAATTTGGACAACAATTTATTTTTTACTTTCAATATTTACCTACTTGCTTTTGTCATTTATTTATATTTTACCATAAGTTATTCTGTTTCATACATATTTCGATTGAAATGAATATAACTAATTCAGAACTTGATAAATGATCTTTGTTCTTCTTTTGAATCATCCGAAACTTATTTGAGATTAAATTAAGATCATTTTCAACTTATTTTCTATTAATTTTTGCAGTTGAATCTTGACGTATTTATACTCCCTACATTCCACGAATAATAATTATTCTTCTATTTTTGAATGTGTAATTAGTAAAATTAAAAATTACTTAATAATCATTGAACTATTAAAATAATATAGAGATATTCATGACTGACCTCATGTCATGTGTGTGACTTCTCGAATAGACACTCATCCAAAAATAATGGTCACCATGAAAACAGGTTGATCATACTTTTCTCTTTCCTTATTATTGTCTTATTTCTCTCTATCCTTCTCTCGTGAGACTACTTCTTCTTTCTTCATTTCTTGTGAGATCTCACCCTCTCGTTTGATCGCTCTTCTTCTCTTTTTTTTCAATGATTGATTTCCCTCTCTCTCCTTCTCTCTCCCTCTCTCTCTTATGAGACCATTCTCTCGCTTTGTCTCACATGAGATTTCCTTCTCTCTTCTCTCTCTCCTCTCTCTCTTGTGAGATCTTTCTCTCTCTTCATCTCACATGAGATTTTCTCATCTCTCTTTTCTCTTTCTCATCTCTCTTTTCTTCCTTCCTTTTCTCCACTTTTCTTCCTTTATTCTTCTCACCTCACTATTCTATTTTATTATTTCTATTAAATATTAATAAAATATTAAAATCACTTTATATATTACTAAATTAGTTTTCACAACATATTAATCAATCTTCTTATGTTCAACCTGAGACTTACTTCTATATTAATATTTTATTAAGTCTTAGTTATAAATATTATTAGATAATGTGGATTTAAATACAACAACAAGTGCACATCACATATATATTATAACACTTCATAAAATTTCTACAAGTCTCCAATCTAGGCACAAGCCATGGGCCATAGGGATGGTTGCCTACAT